GTGACCAAAAAAAAGTAAGATGTTTGAGGTTAGTGAAACATTAGGGGTAAAGGGAAAGAGAAAAAAGGAAGACACATGATGTTACCAAAGAGAAGAGGTTCTTGAGACTAGAGTAAATTTTAAAGAATTAAAGTTAAGTCCAAGCATGGTGGCTCATGACTGTAATCCAAACACTTGGGAGGCCGAGTTGGGTGGAAAGCTTTAGCTCAGGTATTCAAGACCAGATTGGGCAACAAGGCAAACCCCCATGTCTACAAAAAATACAAAAGTTAGATGGGTGTTGTGGTGCACACCTGTAGTCTCAGCTACCCGGGAGGCTGAGGTGCAGTGATCACTTGAGCCTGGGAGGCCAAGGCAGCAATGAGTGGAGATCACATCACTGTACTCCAGCCTGGGCAACAGAGTGAGACCCTATCTCAAAAAAGTAAAAATAAAAATAAAGCATGAGCAAACAAGAACATTTCAGAGAAAAAGCTCCAGAAATTTCTCAAGTAAGCGGTATGTTCAAGTTAGTAAAACAACACTACAAATGACCACTAATTGTACATATACTACATCAGAATCTATGATTAATCCCTACATTAACTAAGACATAATATTCATTTATAGACACAGAAGTTGACTAATAAAGAACCTGTGCCACAATCACAATATTGTAATTACGTAATAGAAGTAGAATCTGAACCAAAGTCTACCTAGTGTAACTGCCTAGCGGCTAATGCCTAAAGATTTAAGCTTCAAGTCAAAGCCTGAGACTGGCTTAAAATAGACATATCCCTATACAAATATGCTGCATATATGTGTACACACACACACACACATACACACACATACTTTTTTTTTTTTGAGACAGAGTCTTGCTCTATTGTCAATGATGGAGTGCAGTGGCAAAATCATAGCTCACTGCAGCTTCAACCTCCCGAGATGAAGCGATCCTCCCACCTCAAGCTACCTCCTGAGTAGCTAGGACCACAGGTGAGCACCATCACGCCTAGGTAACTTTCGTATTTTTTGTAGAGACCGGGGTTTGCCTTGTTGCCCAGGCTGGTCTCGAACTCTTGAGCTCAACTGATCTGAATGCCTCAGCTTCCCAAGTACTGGGATTACAGGCATGAGCCAGTGCATCCCGCCAGATTAAATTTTCTAACTTTTCTGAGATAGGGTCTTGCTCTATTGTCCAGGTTGGAGTATAGTGACACAATCTTGGCTCACTGCAGCCTTGACCTCCTGGGGTCAAGCGATTTTCCTGGCTCAGCCTCCTAAGGAGCTGGGACTAGAGGCATGGACCAGCACACCCAGCTATTTTTAAAGGTTTTTTTGTATAGACAGGGTGTTGCTATGGTGCCCAGGCTGATCTTGAACCCCTGGCCTTAAGCAATCCTTCTACCTCAACCTTCCAAAGTGCTGTGATTACAGGTATGAGTGACCACATCTGGCCCAGACTAAACTTTGAAAAGCAATATCTAACTACTGAAAATAAAGGAAACAAATCAACCTAGACATGTATCAGTGGGTGACACAACCATATAGAATAGAAGAAATTTAAAACACAGTGATTTGTTCATCCCCAGAGGGGAACATCCTTGCGAAAAATACGTCTTAAAAAAAAATCTTAAATTACTTTCAGTAACTACACTGGTGGTGTATTATCATTCTAAAGTTGTTGTATGTGTACCGTGAGATAAGGGAAATGATTATCTTGGAAGTACCATATGAATTGAAAGTCTATTTGATCTTAAAAGTAAAAACAAGCAAAAAGCAAAAACAAAGAAAACTCCAACATTTTCTCTAGCACTGTACACCACAAAGACCTAGAAACAATGAACAACTCAGTAGCAGTGAATACCTCCACCACCTAGATTGTTGTCTTGAAATACCACTTACCACTATAAGGAAAAAATGTCTAATTATAGGTCTAGAGCAGGAAATGGCACATCTTTACATACTAGCAAGCAAGGAATCAATCAAAGTCTACTGAGATCATGCTGAAAGGACTCAAGAGCCAACTTTAAGAGGCTCTCACTATATGGAACAATTTAAGCATTAAGGATAATAACTGCAATGGACCAAAATACATTACATATATTTAAATCCATGAGTTCAAAATGAATCTAAAAGGAGAAAAAAGGAAAAATTAAGAACTAACTAGCCACTGTCAGAGAAGCCAGTGAACCAGCTCAATATTCTGAAAATTGGTAAATAAAAAGGAAAGAATCAAACATACATCCTGGCTTTCCTGTGTAAATGATACCACTGGGTAACCAAATAGTAAATAAGGGAAAGTTTCTCTTTCTAGAAACATTCCAACTAATAAGGAAGAAATGACAGAATTAGAATAGCATCCCTTTGCAACCCCTAATGGGATATGAATCATCAGTGATTGGTACTATCACAAAAAGACAACCAGATATTATGTGCATCCAAATAGAAGAATACAGTACTACACCTATGAGGTGGCTGTGTGTGTGCCAGGGTGGGGTGTTAACGCTGAATCTGACACCAAGCCTCTAGATGCTACAACCAATTTACAAAAAATACAATAAACAAAGGAATATGTTGAACACCACCACAGGAATGCAATCAGCAAAATCTAGGCCTTGGAAGCTCTACGGCAGCAACTGGCAAACTACAAAAGATTCCGTTTTTGCCAACCCTGCTCTAAGGATAAACAACTCGATGTTTTCCATAAATAATACAGTAAGAGGAAAAAAGAGGGAAGGGAAAACTTAAAGATTAAAAGAGACCTAAAACATTTCCATCAATCACAATATACAGATCTTACTGGTATCTGGATTTAAACAAGGCATAATAAGGGAAAAAAACATATAGAAAACAGAATATTTGAATCCTATTTCATAATACTAACATTTATATCTTAGGAGTGCTAATGTAAAAAATAAGAGTTCTCTTTTAGAGATACAAACTGAAAATTTTCAAGGGAAATATGTTTGGATTTGCCTCGAAATAATGAAGAAGGGAGAAAGTAAATAGAGGCATAGAGGACAGTAAGACTGACTGTAACTGAAAGCAGCTGAAGCTAGGTGATTGTTACATTATGCAGTATCCCTGAATGCACAAAGTAACACAGTCAGTAAGCATGTTTAGAAACATTAGATAGTAATGGAACATAGACACATTTATGTTTCCAGATGTTCCACTAGACATTATTTAGACACAGAAAAAGGTTATTTTAAAGAAAAGTTCTCTAAAAATGTAACCTCATCTTTTGACACAATTTGGCAAAATCTTGCTCCCTGATAAGAAATACATAATTTGGTCTTCTTTTAGATACTTTATTTTCATCTGTTTAAACAGATGAAATAAATGTTCCTAATAAAGTTTATTATTTAAGTGGTGATCCTTAGATATGATGCCTTCATACAAATCACAATATGCACAACTAGAAGTGGTCCTTGATGTAAGCTAATTTCTAACTGCCAAGTAACACCTCAACTTCCCCTTTTTGCAAATCAGTAATCTAGAAAAGATAATCCCTCAATCTGAGAGTTAATCTTCCTCAAGATTCTTTGTTTTTGAGATGGGCGTCTTGCTCTGTTGCCTAGGCTAGAGTGTGGTAGCTTGATCTTGTCTCAGTGCAACCTCAGCCTTCCAGGTTCAAGTGATTCTCCTGCCTCAGTCCCGACTAGCTGGGACTACAGGCAACTACCAACATGGTGGGCTAATTTTTTATATTTTTAGTAGAGATGGGTTTCACCATATTGGCCAGGCTAGTCTCGAGCTCCAGACCTTGTGATCTGCCTGCCTTGGACTCCCAAAGGGCTGGAATTACAGGTGTTAGCAAACACACCTGGCCCCTTATACATTCTTTATCACTAGGAAATCAGTGTACTTAGGGGTAGGCCCACAGACATTCACCATCCTAACATTTCCTTCTTGAATATTCCAAATGATTAGCAACATTTCTCCCCACAATGCAATTTCTCCTCCACGGCAACACACAGAGAGGCAATATATAGCCTCAGCAGCATTTGTGGCTCACCAGCATTTCAAAGGCAAGAAGAATGCTGCAGAAAAGAAAGCATGCAGAGGCAATCAACTAAGTAGTCCATGAACACAAGCCCAGGTACTCTTCTAGGCAATACTACCCAGAGGAAATAACTGACATGATCACAATTTTTCCTGAATCTAGTAAACAAAGGAACCTATATGTTTATTTGAAAGTACACCATTTAAAGAGGACACAATCCTCTCCTACTTGGATAACTATGGTAATTCTAGAGCTAATACATGCCAACAGGCGCTGACTCCCTTCAAAGAGTGATGCGTACATTTATCAGATTAAAACCAACTTGGATCAAAACCACCAAACTGTCTCTGGTTTTTATAAGATTAAAAATAAAAACAAAGAGGACACAAAAACAAGAGTTCTTTAGTTACAGATATGAGGGGAAAAAAGGATAATTTTTTAATGCAGAAATTATAGATGTCTGTTTATAGCATATAAGTCACTTTAAAACATACACTATGTGTCTCATATATAGCGTCAACAAATGTAATTACACACTGAAGTACAGTAATTTTCAACACGCACGCACACACACACCCCCCAAGTAAATTTCTAGAAATTTTTAATCATTTTTAGACTACGCTTATTATAGGAGTGTTAACAAAATTTTAAATAAAGCTTTGAAAAGGATATTAGTACTTTTAAATGACTTATTTTATACCAAGTGACAAGAAAAAAATCAAGAAGACTGTAGACTTCTCAAAAGACTAGTAACCAGAGTTAGGTTTTACAGAACGGATGGCCTTTTTTCTAAAATTCTGAATGATGGGAAACTCACAGTAACTCCAGTTATCTTTCAGGCAACAGAAATTTCAGCTGCCAACAGTTTTAAGCACTTTGTGTACGTCACGTAAATAACTCATTATTAAATTTAACACAGTTCAAGTTAAAGAATTATGAAGTCAAAATAAGATTCCTTTTCCAAGCCCTTCCACCCACAACACTGAATTCATAGGACTAAATGTCAACTTACTTGGGCTGTTAGAAAGGTATCATCTTCACCTTCTTGAGCTTCAATTTCCTAAGTAAAAGGGTATACAATAACTTTGCTTTACAAAATATCTGGGTAACATAAGAATGCTTTTATGCTTATACCTGCTTATCATTTGCCTTGGGTTCTGTATAATATCTACGATACTATGGGTACTAAATCAGTGCTTAAGATTCAGATTATACTTCTTATGCCAAAAAAACCAAAATTTAGTCATGTCGCTAGAGAATTAGAAACATTTCTCTTGAGCCTCTCGTTTATTAGGGTAGGTAGAAGGGAAGTGTTTTAACTATGAATACTAACAGCAGTGACTCCTTAACCCACTGACTTCCTTAAAATATAATAACATACTTTAAAGCAGGACAAATGGTCTGTAAATGAAAGCAAATAATAAATGAAATATTATCTGCTTTAAAATTAAACTTTCATAAGTAATTCCCCGCCCTTGATATAACCAAAGAAATGTAAATTAAAGCAATCTTTTATACCTGCTAAGGTAGCAGAAGGGGGAAAAAAGCTTATCACCAAGTAGTGTTGGCAATGCCAGAATGAAACTGATATATTCATTCATCGAAGAATAGGAAAAAAGCCTTAAAACTTAAAATGTGTCAAATTAAAGAAGTATCTTTTAGATATGTAGAAATCAGTCTAATAAATTATGGTAAAATTATGAAATTATGTTACATGAAAATACAGAATAAATAGCAACTTACGTTGTAACAACTATGTAAAAATATATATTATGTGAAATGAGCAAAAATTTAAAAGATTGCCTAAGGTGGTAAGGTTTTAGATGACTTATAAGTAGCTTTAATAACACATCTTTTAAAAATTCTAAGACTTCCAAATTGAACTAAGAAAAAAAATACTTTTTATTATTTAAAACTTAATGTATCTGTGTCATGTTTTAAAAAAAACTGGCTAAAGACCTGACTTTCGATGTCCTCTTTTTCTATATCTTCTATTGCTTCTGCCTCTATTAATTCATGAGCTCTCTTGTTTTCTTCTGCAGAGAGTAACTCCTTGGAATGCACATTTTCTTCTTCATTTTCACCAAATTCTTCAGAGTCCTTTAGTTCATCATTTCCATCTTGCTCTTGTGCCTCCTGATTCTCCAATTCACAGTCCTTTTAATGGTAAGAAAATTTGGTACAACTAGAGGCAAAGTAGCGTGGGCTATCCACCAAACGTTTTTGGTAATTTATACCTTTAAATGTGTCAAATTTGATCATATTTTAATATTCCCAAAGTTCAATCATTGTATCTTATATATTAACTGTGCCTTTAAAAATAGGAGGTCTAATACCAAGATTATCAAACACGAATCTGAGTTCTCAAATCTCTCATATTAAAATGCACAACAATTGAATTGCTACTAGAGATGCCCTAAATTCCAGTTATTTAATATTTACCAAGCCAGCTCTAGAAGCTGTCCAGAAAATATGGCTTGATTTCTCCATGTGCCATAGGTTGAGTTAACTTCAAAGACCTTGGAAGTCTTATACATTAAAACAAAATTTATTTCTAATAATAAGAAACTCCTAACTGCTGCATAAATGACTGTTGTTGAAAAATATGCCAATCACTAATTGAAATGTATTTGCTTTGAAATTTACCACTGTGCCAAATGCCAATTAGGAAGGGGAACATAGGTTGTGATTGGTCTGTTTGTCCTTCAAAGTTTATGGATATACAGTACTTCAGTGAAAACAAAATCAGCAATCTGCCTAATTTCCTCTGATTAAGTGCAGAGAAAGGAGTGAAAGCAATAAACATTCCTTTTTTTTTTTTTTTTTTCCTGTTCTTACTGTAAATCCAGCAGATTTAAGAAAAGGTTTCTTGGTTAAAAGGTGAAAGAGGCAGAGGCATGACTACTAATCATTCACAGCTAAACTGCAGTGAGGAAACTGAAATTTCTATCTAGAGGTGGGCAGAGAGAAGGAATATGATTATTTTGGAATGTAGAGTGCTTGGGGAGCAGAGGATATCTTGTTTGACCAAACATATTACAGTGAGAGTGGGGGAACGGTAGGGGTTGAAAATGGAGTACACAGCTGTATTATGGCAGAAGAATAGGCACAAGAAAGATCAAGGGAACTTACCAAGGTGATCTCACCTATTCTGAAGTGCCAACTATGACTAATTTCCTCACTTATTCAAAGAAGCAATTTGTATACTATTCTGGTATTTAGGCAATAGGTGAAATTTACCCACCATTACTGTATAAATTCCAAAATTATCAACCATGGGAGATGAGAAAAATATATTCACTTAATTTCTATCAAATACATCACATATATGTTGATACTTCCAAAAATAAACTGAAGATATGTTTAAACAGAATTTTTTTAAAAGCTCCTAGAACCAGGCGTGGTGGCTCACGCCTGTAATCCCAGCACTTTGGGAGGCTGAGGCAAGTGGATCACGAGGTCAGGAGTTTGAGATCAGCCTGGCCAACATGGTGAAACCCCATTTCTACTAAAAATACAAAAATTAGCCAGGCCTGGTGGCATATGCCTGTAATCCCAGCTACACAGGAGGCTGAGGCAGGAGAATCGAACCTGGGAGGTGAAGGTTGCAGTGAGGCAAGATTGCACCACTGCACTCCAGCCTGGGGTACAGGGTGAGACTCCATCTCAAAAAAAAAAAAAAAAAAAAAAACAAAAAAAAAACCACAAAAAACAAAAACAACAAAAAGCTCCCCTGTTCTTCTAGACATTATGAACACTTTTATTTAATAATAACACAAAGGCATCCTTTGCAACACATATAAGAGAGAGTACTATTAGTCTTCTGAATAGATGTATATATCTTCTTAGGACATTTCAAACCGCAACGTTTTTATGAACTGAAGAGCTAAAACAAACACTTTTGAAAAGGAAAAGATTTTTTACTGAGTCATAATGCTTTTACAGCTTATGGAAAATCTCAACTTAATCATACACTTACTGGTGAAGACAACTGAAGAAAATAAGAACAAAAAAAGTAAACCTAATGGAACATATATCATAAGGATAACAGAATAGTAAAAAATTTTAAGGCTCAAACAAAAGCTGACTACAGGCATGCAATCATCAATTTTAATGGATCCTTGGGCAAACAGTTCCCAAAATTATCTGATTTCAGGTTAACTCCTCAACAAAACATCGTGTGTGTGTGTGTGTGTGTGTGTGTGTGTGTGTGTGTATACGCGTATACGCGTGTGTGCACGTGCAGTGTGAAGAGTAAAGACAGCTAGGAAGCAGGAGAGATGGCTGTGTAAATGAACATGAGCTGATTCTATGGTAAAACACAAAAACATCAAGAGACATGATGAAAAGATGGACTAGTTTTATACAGAAAACAGAATATATGGGTGCATAAATGCACACATAATTCGAGAGAAACTACATTAAATAATTCCTGAAAATACCACAATACTAAAGCCCTAATAAGCAGATCACTTTTCATTAAAATAAAAACAAAACAAATTTTAAAACCCCAATTACAATTAAAAATAGCTTGTTCTCTATCTGTAGTATATAGAACTGCCCCAACCCCAATTAAAATTACATCCTTAATTTTTCTGGCCAGCCAGTTTTGAAATGCACCCTCCTTTTTGGCCCCAAAAGGCCTAGCTTATTTATCTCTAAAGGGCAAAACAAATTTCTTAATTTGATCTCTTTTTTTGAGATGGAGTCTCACTCTATCACCCAGGCTGGAGTGGATTGGTGCAGTCTCAGGTCACTGCAACCTCCACCTTCCTGGGTTCAAGTGATTCTCCTGTCTTAGCCTCCCAAGTAGCTGGGACTACAGGCGTGCGCCACCATGCCTGGCTTTTTTTTTCATTTTGGTATTTTTAGTAGAGATGGGGTTTCACCATGCTGGCCAGGTTGGTCTCAAACTCTTGACCTCAAGTGATCTGCCCACCTAGGCCTCCCAAATTGCTGGGATTATAGGCATGAGCCACAGCGCTAGACCCTTAATTTGATCTTTACCAAGTGGTAACACATCAGCAATTTTCTGTCTGTATTTTAAGGTCTACATTAATCTAAGTTCTGTATATTACACACAAAAACTAAATGCAATGAGCAGATAGAAAAAAAATTATTAATATCCTTCCCTGTGGTATTTTGTCCAGGAACTAACACATGTATCTATTGTCTTGTAGATATATTCCTGACCAGCTAGCTTTCTACCTAAAGGCCTGGTAAAACAGATTATTATTTTTAGTTTTACATCTCATTTAAATAAAAAGTTATTTACTCTATTTTTCAATTATGAGAGTTAATGAGATTGACAATATTACATATTGTCAATATTATGTAAGTCTCTATCTTTAACCTACATACTTCAGTGACCACTGTTCAATAAAATGCACAAAATTCATAATGTAAAATACTAGGCTTAAAAGAAACATCTTATCCTGAGTAATTAACACTTTACCTTGATAAAAGCATCATCTTCCACAGAAGCATCTCCACTCAACTCATCTGCTTCTTGTTTTTTACCTGCAGAAGAAGGAAAATGGGCTAACAACTGGTATTTTAGTACATTAAGAACAAAAATATTCAGTGTTTACCCTGCAATAGCACTCTTCACTTCCAAACCATCTGACAAAGCTAATGCCAGCTGCTTATAAACCACCTGGTCACGGCTGTCCCAAACATAAAAAGCTTTACTACGTCATGCTGTCTCAATTAAATACACTGTGCACATAATCCTACATATGAACCCATCAGCTTAACTGACTTGACATATATGATGCATTTTTCTTTAACCACTTGAATTTTCTATCTTCACTTATCTCAGAAGTTGTGGTACTTTTCAATGGCATTCAACTAACTATATATACAGTCAGACACTTGATAGCTAAGTATGAGATCTGTAACTCCCACAAAGCTTTTCCTATATTCTTCTCTTCGACAAGCATTCTCTGAAATAAAAATTCTCACACTTTAATCTTCATCTTACAATCCATCAGGTGATTGATTACATACAGCTCTGTACTGTCTCTAGTACACCGTGCCTCTTCATAGAGAAGAAACTCCTTAAATAAGGCGACTACTTTTATGCTAATTATTTATTTACCCAAAAGCCTAAAAATAAATAGTGCTGGCCACTTAACAGAGTAACTGATTTAAGGCATGTAGAAATTACTGCAGTGAAGGCCGGGAATGGTGGCTCACGCCTGTAATCCCAGCACTTTGGGAGGCTGAGGCGGGTGGATCACGAGGTCAAGAGATCGAGACCATCCTGGTTAACATGGTGAAACCCCGTCTCTACTAAAAATACAAAAAAATTAGCTGGACATGGTGGCGCACGCCTGTAGTCCCAGCTACTCGGTAGGCTGAGGCAGGAGAATTGCCTGAACCCAAGAGGCGGAGGTTGCGGTGAGCTGAGATCGCGCCATTGCACTCCAGCCTGGGTAACGAGAGCGAAACTCCATCTCCAAAAAAGAAAGAAAGAAAGAAATTACTGCAGTGAAAACTGTTAACAGCTTTCAGACAAACTACAGACCTTCTCTGCCCAACCCTCATCTTCAAAACTTTGCAAACTTGTAGTTAGAATTTTCTTTTTAAGAATATCTATTTATTTATTTAGACGGAGTTTCACTCTTGTTACCCAGGCTGGAGTGCAATGGCGCAATCTCGGCTCACTGCAACCTCCGCCTCCTGGGTTCAAGCAATTCTCCTGCCTCAGCCTCCTGAGTAGCTGGGATTACAGGCACGTGCCACCATGCCCAGCTAATTTTTTGTATTTTTAGTAGAGACGGGGTTTCACCATGTTGACCAGGATGGTCTCGATCTGTTGACCTCTTGATCCATCCGCCTCGGCCTCCCGAAGTGCTGCGATTACAGGCTTGAGCCACTGCGTCCGGCCCTATTTATTTATTTTTGAGACAGAGTCACACTCTTGCCCAGGCTGGAGGGCAGTGGCACAATCCCGGCTCACTGTAACCTCCCAGACCCAGGTTCAAGGGACTCTTCTACCTCAGCCTCCTGAGTAGCTGGAAGCACAGGTACGAGCCACCACGCCTGGCTAATTTTTGTATTTTTAGTAGAGACAGATGGGGTTTCACCATGTTGGCAAGGCTGGTTTCAAACTCCTGGCCTAAGTTATCTGCCCACCTCTGCCTCCCAAAGTGCTAGAATTACAGGCGTTGAGCCACCACACTTGGCTGGTAATTGGTAACTTTAAAAACGTTTTCCATGTTAAAAAAAAAAAAAAAAAAGTTTTCCAGAGGCAATGCAAAAAGTTTATTATGTTTTCAGGCTAGTCCACAAAATCCTACTTAGAAATCCGTAATGTACTAGAAATGTAAAAAACACATCTGCTGGAACATTACTGTGAAATCTTTTTTTTTTTCATTTCTTTTGAAACCTTAATGGATGTTCTTTCCTAAGGCCAATGAATGAACTTTTCCCTTAGCCTATAACCAGCACAGACAGTGCTACTCCGTATTTCAAGCTTCAGTAATCAGAATAGAGGTTCAGCTATTGATAATTACTTAACAAGTTAGGATACCTCCATTTCCCTAGTCTCCTCAGTAGCTCTGATCTGTCATCTACTCCCAATTCTAAGTCATTTCCACGAATGAGTGATCAAAGGGGATATGATATGCTAGTCCTTCCAAGTATGCAAAAAACAAGGTTAGGAGTGGGGATTTTTCTTTTGCTCAAGTAGTAGCTGAGGGCTTCTGAAAATCAAATAAGAAATGAAGTGTGGCGCTTCGTGGTATGCTAACTTCCTATTTACAATGTTGATGTCTGCATTTTTCAGAAAACGTAACTTTTTGGTTTACTATTCCCTTTGTTAACATCATTCTCTTTATCACCAAACTTAATTTGTATATGAGAATTTCATACAACAACCAGCCTGTCGGATTATATTGCCCTAAAGTCCAATATTAGAATTATTAAAAGGGCAATCACTAAGAAAGCCTGTTCATCTGAAAGTATTAATCTGTTTAAGAAAGAAAGAAAAAAAGATGTTCTTTTCCTGAAAAAGAAAACTACTGAACAAGAAAGAGCTAATTAAATTATTCTATTACATTCAGAGAAACTTCCATAACACAAAAACCTTCAAAAGGCTACTTTCTGGGAGAAATAAGTTTTAAAAATATCAAATCCAGCAGGAAGCAGTGGCTAATGCCTATAATCCCAACACTTTGGGAGGCTAAGGTAGGAGAATTGCTTGAGCCCATAAGTTAAGACCAGCCCAGGCAACATAGTGAGATCCCTATCTCTTCAAACAAAATCCTTTAAACATAGCTGGGTGTGGTAGTGTATGCTGATAGTCCCAGCTATTTAGGAGGCTGAGGTGGAAGGACTGCTCGAACCCAGGAGGGCAAGGCTGCAGTGAGCTGTAATTATACCAACCACTGCAATCCAGCCCAGGCAACAGAGTCGGTCCCTGTCTCAGAAGCGAAATAAATCACAACATCAATCCTTTCCCATACCACCGAATAGCCAACTGGGCATAACTTTTGGGGAAACTCCTTTAGATCATTCACAAACGCTATTTATTCCTTATAATTACAAACTGCTTTACAATTTGCAAAGCACCTAAAAAAATTTCAGTTGATTTGTCCAAGCACCCTATTATGGTACATGGATCCGTTATCACAATTTTACAAAAGACAAAATGAACCTGAGAGATTAAATAGCTTGCCTAAAACTTGAAAATGGTGCTGTCAGAACTGAAAGCCAGGACTTTTCCCGATCAATCTTGAATTCCTGCCACTACATCTTAGTATGACCAATGTAAAACACATTATTCTAATAAGGTGTGAAATAATTCAATTTATCTTTCAGGCCAGACACAGTGGCTCACATCTGTGAACCCGACACTTTGGGAAGCCAGGGAGGGCAGATCACTTGAAGCCCCAAGTTTGAGACCAGCCTGGCCCACTAGCAAAACCCCATCTCTACTAAAAAAAAAAAAAGTAGCTGGGCATGGTGATGCATGCCTGTAATCCCAGCTACTGGGGAAGCTCAGGCACTGGGTTCAATCACTTGAACCCGGGAGGGAAAGATTGCAGTAAGCTGGGATCATGCCATTGTAATCATGCCTGGGAGACAGAGGGACACTTGTCTTGAAAGTAAAATAAATAAATAAGGCCAGGCATGGTGGCTCACCTGAGGCCAGGAGTTCAAGACCAGCCTGGCCAACATGGTGAAACCCCGTCTCTACTAAAAATACAAAAATTAGCCAGGCATGGTAATCCCAGCTAACCGGGAGGCTGAGGCAGGAGAATCACCTGAACCCCCGAGGTTGAAGTTACAGTGAGCCAAAACTGCAACACTGTACTCCAGCCTTGGCAATAGAATGAGACTCCGTCTCTAAATAAACAAATAAAAATAATTTTTTTTGGCCAAGCCCTGTGAGTCACACCTGTAATCCCAGCACTTTGGGAGGCCGAGGTGGGCAAATCACGTGAGGTTAGGAGATCGAGACCAGCCTGGCCAATATGGTGAAACCCCATCTCTACTAAAAATACAAAAATTAGCCAGGAGCAGTGGTGGGCACCTGTAATTCCAGCTACTCCGGAGGCTGAGGTTGCAGTGAGCCAAGATTGCACCACTGCACTCCAGCCTTGGTGACAGAGTAAGACTCAGTCTCAAAAAATAATAAAAATTTTAAAATAAAGATATTATCTTTGAAATGGCAGTCTTCGGCATAATGACAAATTACATACTATGAACACTGTTGAATTTCACTTCTTTTAGGAAAAACAAGAAAATAGAATTATACTTCAGCCACAAAAACAGCAGTAACTATCTGTGGTCCAGGTACTAGCATAAATTTTTTTCTTTTCTTTTCTTTTTTTTTTTTTTTAAGACCGGGTTTCACCATGTTGGTCTTGAACTCCCGACCTCAGGTGATCCACCCGTCTTGGCCTCCAAAGTGCTTGGATTACAGGCATGAGCCACCATGCCCGACCTCTTTTTTTTTTTCTAAAGGGGTTTCACTCTTGTTGCCCAGGCTAGACTGCAACAGCACAATCTCAGCTCACTACAGCCTCCACCTCCCAGGTTCAAGCAGTTCTACTGCCTCAGCCTCCCGAGTAGCTGGGATTCCAAGCATGTGCCACCACGCCTGGCTAATTTTGTATTTTTAGGAGAGACAGGGTTTCTCCATGTTGGTTAGGCTGGCCTGAAACTCCCAATCTTAGGTCACCCACCTGCCTTGGCCTCCCACAGTACCAGGATTATAGGCATGAGCCACCTCACCTAGCCTTTTTTGTTTTCTTTTTTGAGATGGAGTGTTGCTCTGTTGCCCAGGCAGGCTGGAGTGTGGTGGTGTGATCTCAGTTCACTGCAACCTCCAACTCCCAGTTCCAGCAGTTCTCCTGCCTCAGCCTCCCAAGTAGCTGGGATTACAGGTACATACTACCACACCCATCTAATTGCTTTGTATTTTTAGTAGAGACAGGTTTTCACCAAGTCAGCCAGGCTGGTTTAGAACTCTTAACCTTAAGTGATCCGCCCACCTCAGCCTCCCAAAG